AGCAGTTACCATGTCCTCTTTCCCAGAGCATGGGTGAAAAAGGCTTAGGGGATTTTAGTTGACACTAAATTCAGATGAGTTTTTAATGTGATGTAGGTCTAGTGACCTAAAGTATACCTAAAATAGGATTCTTTGGGGGAGTGAAAGGAGATATACTAATATCCAAGGTAACAGCACTGTCTCAGGCAAACAAGATGTATAGTCACCCTGTCATAACCCCTGTAGTCTCAGAGGTAGAGCAGACGCGTTACTAGTTACCTTGTTTTCCAAGCACATCTCGGGCTTTATGCCTGTGCATCTTTGTCTCTGCCGGCCACGTGGCTCCCGGGCCTGGAGTCTGTGCACCCCGCAGAAGCCCACCCAATTCAGTGAGCTTGCCCAGGTCAGCCTAGTCCATAGAAATCTGTCTCTACCCTGAACTCATTCAGCATATTGTTTAAATGCTTAATTAGCAGCTAGATGTAGCTTATCTAGCTTATCATGATTATCATACTGTTTTGACTTTAATTTTGATGGCTGCTTTTGTTTAACTTTTTCATATCTCCCTCCTCAATTGAACTATATGTTCTTAAGATCAGGGCCCACATTTTGAACTTACATCTATTCCTCAAGTACAGTGACTTATTCATGCATATGCTAAGACATATTTGTTGAATATTTAATTTGCTGGCCTACCTTTGCCTCTTTAATTAAAAAGTTACCCATTTTACATCAGTATCATGTGCTTGCCCTCCCTCACAAAGTAAAAGCTGTAAGAGAAGAGGTTTGCAGTAAAAATGTTAAATTATTACATTTTAAATGCAAGTATTTACCATGAGGCATCTTAAAAGTTATCATTTTAACAGTTTATCCTACTTCTTGCAACATTACAGGATAAGAAAGATGAAAGGGGTTCTCGCAGCCCTGTGTATATGCCTCTACCTGTAGTAATACATTTAAATGTTAATTAATATTTTCTATAGGCCTGCATTTCTTAATTAGAAAAGTAATAGGTCTTTAACAGAGAAGAAAAGGTTAATTGTCAGGTTTAGAGATTTAAAACTATACCGAATGAATTCTTACATTTTTGAGCCTTTGATTTGAAGGAATTTACTGATTTATTTTTACTCTGATCATCTTTATATAGTTAGATCCTGAAAATGCAATTTAAAAATGATCTTTAAAACTTTTTAACTCATAAAGTCATATATGAATAATTGCAAATTCTAATTTAGCTTCTGTGGCTTTATTCTGTTAGTCACTAGAATGGCAGGCACAACCCTAATATTTTCTAGCTGATCCAAGTACACTTTCTAAACATAAATGGTTTATGAGTTGTATTAATCATTAAACTAGTTCTTAATTGTTTCAGTGTTTCCCCAAAGTTCTTTTATTAAACAGAAATTTATAGAAATAGCATTTGTTCATTTTGCAAATTCAACAGAAAAGTACACAAAACAGAATGTGACAATCAATCTTAATTACCACCAATATTTCCCTGTCTTCCACCCACCCCCAGCATTCTCATTCCCAAAAAGTAATCATTTGTAACAGCTTACTGTGTATCTTTTGAGACCCTGTTTTAATAACTCTATACCCCTGATTGTCAACAGTTCATTTACACTGATACCCTCTTCCTTTGGAGGCGCCTGCACTGGATTGGCGGTGACTGTCTGTCCTTACTGACTTGTCAACACTGCTACCAATGAGGAGTGTGTATAAGGATAAGTCAGACTTGCACCCTGGCCGCAGGTGGCTTTCAGTATAGGAGGAGACATGCAGTGGTAACTGTAATACCAGATTTTAAAGGTGTAAGAGGGAATAGGTGAAGCACTGTGGGGTGTATGGGGTGAGGAAAAGATTTTCCTTTGGCCAAGAGGTGATATTTAGCTACATCCTGAAAGACAGACAAGATTTGGGTTGGACAGGCAAACGGCAGATATTCTGGCAGGAGAAAGGCACGGAGATGCAGGGAACTCACGAGGTCATTCTGTTTCCTAGCCTGGAGTGTGCAAATATGAGGACAGCAGCAGATGAAGATGCAAAGGTCGTTCCCCGGGGAACCCTGAACAGCTTTATGAAATTGTTAAATCTTTTGACCAGAACCATGGCATTAGGATTATTAATCAGACGTTAGAGAGGGTAGAGGGCCAGGCACAGACTTGGCAGTCATTTGGAAGAAGAGTGAGGTTCGTGGCTGTAGAGCTGTTGCTGAAAGAGGGCCTGTAGGTCTTAGCAGCTCCCACAGCCTCCCAATCTTAGAAGGCCTTGATTTGTAAGACATGCCTTTATTTTGTGTATGGGGGTGGGAGGCACTGCCAGATTATTTTCAGATGTATCCTGATTTTAGAGATTGTAAAAATGAAACATACATCTTCAAATCGTGAAGTAGAGTGACCACTTGGGTACAGGGAAAAGACGGACACCACGCAGATAATGATCAGTGACTCAGAGAAGTCGAGAAGCTACCAGCATTCAGCAGACGCATGTTAAATGCTGTCCATGTTGGTGAAGGAGGGGAAAGGTTGTCTGCAAAGAGTGTGGTGGTGGGTTGAGGGCTTAGACTGGAGACTAAAAAGGCTTCAGGTTCAGTGAGCGTGAGGACCAAGCATTGAAGTCAGATGGTCAGAAGGGACGAAAGGAGCTCCCCTCAGAAATGGGGGGCCCGGTTACGATTGAGAAGCGCATATTTACAAAGCAACTGGTTGGCCCTATTTAATGACTTTGTCCAGGAGCCCTTGACAGCCTGGTGACGGGGGAGGGAAACAAGTGGAAGGTGCCTTGCTCAGGGCCAGAGACGGGCGGTGGAAGGAAGAGAGGAGAGGCTAGGCGGCCTGCGCTCCCCCCAGGCGCACCGTGCAGTTCCGGCTGAGAAATGAGCCGTGGGGCCAGAAGAGGAGGAGTAGGTGAGCAGATTTTTATTTTTAATTGAGGAGAGAGTTGGATTGGAGGTTATAAGAACAAATTATTTTGAAGAGGGGGACTAAGTAGAAAGTCAGTTGGGGAATTGCAGAATTCAGGATCATGGGGGTAGAATTCTGCGGCTGACTCTTGAAGACGTGTCGCCTTTCTGAAACACAGATGGGAGTGTGTCTGTGTGGCTTGAAAACTCCTACTTCAGGATGAAGTCATTACTCCTTACAGAACAGACAAAGCTTATCGCGCTGGCCCCGTCCCACTTCTCTGGGGGTAATACCTCATTTTCTTTAAGAACCCCAAATTCTTACCACACTAAATTCTTTTCTAGGCTCAGAATCCTCAAGGCTTTTTCTGCCTTTCGCCTTCGCACAGGCTGTTCTCCTTGCGTGAGATGCTCTTCCTCCTTCTGTCTGCCTCGTGCACTCCTGCCCATCCTCAGGGTCTGCCCCAGACGGCCTTTCCTCTGCGCAGTCCTCCCAGGCTCCTGCAGACAACGCTGAGCACCCGTCCTCTGTGTGCCCACGGCGCTCTGGCCCGCAGGCGTCCCGCGGGACCGTGCCGAGGGCACACCGATGTGGGCGTCTCTCCCTCTCTCTCCCCCTCCAGCAGAGTGTAAACCCCTTGGAGTCAGAACTACCTAATTCTCTTCTTTACCCACAGTGCAAGCGCATAATGTTCGGGACTTAATCCCTGCTTTCATTGTCTTTGCTGCTGAATTTTAAATGATGAAGCTAATGCTTCTCCCATGTGAAGGTGCAATGGAATCCCCTGGAGAGCTTGTTAAAATCCAGATTCGGATTCAGTCTGAGGTGGGGCCTGGGATTCTGCCTCCCCCACGGGCTCCTGCACTGCCGTCCATGGAACTACGCCAGGGTCTTTGCCCCAGTAAATAGCAGGAATGGAGTAAAGATAAAGGTCGATAGGAACCGGGAGGTGGGGCAGTCGTGGGGACAGTGACTTGGAAAACTCCACACTGTGAACACTGGAGCCGCAAAAATGGTCGCAGAAAATCGTGTGGGAAGATGCTTAACTCCTGGAACAAAGCAGGAGACGGTTGTGGGGGACGGGCGAGCTGGTGAAGGCAGGGCTGCGGGTTCAGAGGAAGGGCTGGGGCCTCCACTGTCCGTTCCCACTGATGCCGACAGGAGGGCGAGGGGGTGAGAGCCGCACTGTCACCTAATAAGCATTCTGGTTCCACAGATAGTCTCCCAGGCCTGATAATGCTAACGGTGGGTTCAGAAAGCCTTTTAGGTACTATTGTCCCGAAATAATATATGCTTTTTTTAACATATGGAAAAAGGCAAAAGTAATGATTGAATCTCCTTCCACTAATCCCCTGCCCCCACTATGAAGTAACCAGTATTTATGGCCCGACGTGTGCCCTTCCAGCTTTTATCCATGCAGATTTATGTGCACACAGACAGGAATTTTTCAAATTCCATAATGGAATTTTTGCAGGCACACTGTTCTGCAGATTGTTTTTCTCACTTAGGAATATGTCATAAATACTCCTCCCGGTCAATGGATAGAGCTGCAACTTATTTTCTTCCTAGTCATTTTAAAATAGCTGTGTATAAATATAGATGTCCCCTAATTTGTTCTTGCTGTTCTCCCGTTGATGGACAACTAGGCAATGTCCAATTTTTGCTGCTACAATATGACATGTTAGAGAAGTCGTGTTGTTACCAGAGCCTCAATAACAGAACTCTGATTTCAACCAGCTGGTCCTGTCACAAGTGATTTTTATATCATCGGCATCTTTTAATGAAGGATACTATGGGGCAGGCGTACGGTAATACGGTAGCCACTATCGTGCAGTCTTTTAAATTTCAGTTCACTAAAATTAAGTCAAATTTTAAAATTCACTTCCTCAGTCACATCACCCTCATTTCAGGTGCTCAGCAGCCACCTGTGTGCAGTGGCCACCCTATTAGACGGTACAGAACAGACCCTTTCCATCCTCACAGAAAATCCTATTGAGAACCTGGACTAGACACTCTAATATTACATCATCAAGAACATATTTTTCAGTGGGCTAGTGTTTTAACGAGAGCGCATGTTTAAAAGTACAAACTTTGTGTCTTAATTGGTTGCCTTTGCAGCTACTTCAATGAGAATCAATACCCAGATGAAGCAAAGAGAGAAGAAATCGCGAACGCTTGCAATGCAGTCATACAGAAGCCGGGTAAGGCCGCAGGGGCCACCTTGCTGGGTGGTGGGGCTCTCGGCTGCAGCTCGTCATTCAGGACCCAGACGTCTTCCACTCCCACGGCTGTGCCCAGCTCCTTCCATGCCATCCTCTAGGGAGAGCAGTCATTGCCCCTTGGGGACGCCATTAGGGGGCTCCGCATCAGGAGTTCACAGGGGAAAGTTTCCAGGGAGTGTTCCTGCTTAAGATAGACCCTGAAATTATTTTTTTAAAGACTAGATTTCTTTTTCTAAAACACAGCATAAATATATCAATCCCAAAATAATTTTAACGTTTGGAATATTTAAGCAAGGTTTGTTAATGAAACGATGAAGATAGATTTTTTTTTTTTTACAATTGTTATGAATTGTGTAATTATGTATTCCCATTTAAAGAAAAAATTCTTTTTCGAGATGGTGTCTTATTTCCTTCCCACATTGGGATGATTTCTGCTTAGCTAGGAACAACATGGGGCAGTTCCGGTCTGAGGTCCTGTTGCTCTCCAGTTAGTAGAGCCACTTAAACACCCATAAGTCTTTTCTTCCACTCTCTAAAATACTAGTCCGTATTTTCTGGTTTGTGCCACCAGAAACCATTCTCAGTCAAGATGATCCAGCTGATCCCCACTTGGCCAGTTAATTTGATTGGCTTAAAGGCTAAATACAGAAGTATCAGTGTTTTATAATAATTAGTGATTTATTCTCCCATAGCTAGAAGCCAGGCTTAGCAACCTAGACCCTATAAAGTCAGCGCCAATGACCTCTGTACCCTATTTCACACAACCCAAAGTCGCGGCCCTGAAGCCTCACAGGAACTCAGACTTTTCCTGGAAAGCCCTTCACCCTCGCAGGAGGGCCCTGGCCTGTTTTCTGATTTCTCCACCATGTGTGCCTCTCAGCTGAAACAGAAAAGGCCAGGGAGGGGAAGGTGTGTTTGCTGGTACACCTGGTGCTGTCTGGAGGAGTCACGTTTGGCAGCAAAGATGATAATAAACCTAGAATGATCCTTACTCGTGCTGTGTGCTCTAGCAATAGTAGCAGCAATAGGTAGTCAGAGGAACCTTTAGTCTTTAGGAAAATATGGGTAAGAATTATTCCTCTGGCTTAAGACAGCAGGAAACTAGTTTTATGGACGGCCTTAAAGATGTAAGTAAACTTCAGTTATCTGGAAACTTGAGGAGTTATAACATATTCATTAGACTGATGCTAATTAAACAAAGCCTCTAAGTACTACCATGTGAGCTTTGAACCCCAGCTGACTCACTTTGTGGAATTCTTTAATGCCGTATTTAATATTGGAAATCTTTAATATTGTGTGGCTTTCTGAATTGAAACATTTTATGTTTTTACTTGCTGTTTGTATATTTATGTTTTTACTCATTCAATAATAATTTGAGTATAGTAGGTAATGCTAAAAATATAACTCCCTGTGTCTGTTATTCTGGCAATAAGTGCAGGCAAAAGAATTTTTAAGAAGAAAAGTGTTGTTCCTTAAAACTTGTCTCAAATGTAGGTTATCTGAAGTGTATTGAATGCATTCACAGGCAAAAAGCTGTCAGACCTGGAACGAGTTACCTCCCTGAAAGTGTATAACTGGTTTGCAAACAGACGGAAGGAGATCAAGAGGAGAGCCAATATTGGTAATGTACCAGAGAGGCTGCTTTCTCTTCTGAAGCAGTTGTGGACATTGTGTTCGTTTTAAGAGGGACTTCAGTTTAGAACTGCAGGTCTAAATGATCCTAACTTTCAGCCTAAAACATAAGAATTGCCCTTAGGTTTTTCTTCATTGTATTTTTAACGACCTAAAGTTAATATTATTTACACTGTTGTATTGTAATAATAATGGCATTGTTACTTCTAAAACTCATTGTTCTTAATATTCTAGAACCTGTGATTAAACATGGCCCTGACCAGTTATTCCTATGGTGCATATGAAAGATACTTACAAGGTCTCAAGAGAGGGAATGTGACACCCTAAGCTTCTTTGTCGTTACTGGGCTATGACTTCAATATTAAGAAACATCTGATTAATAGTATTGGCATGAAAGAGTCTTAATAGGTAGGGAACATAGCAAAAGGTAGAGATTTAAAAAGAGCATTTCAGAAATGTGAATTGATGAGATTAGGGTGAGGGTCAGTTTTGAGCTTCTAAAATTGTGTTTCATTTATCGACTTACTCCCTTTTCATCACTGCAATTCTCAAACACTTTATAGAACCCCAAGACAGGAGAGCTGCCCAATCAGTTGGTAAGTATTTACAAAGCACCTAACATCAACCACATGCACACAGCCCACAGAGCAGCAGGGGTTCCAGAAGGGCACATGTGTTCCTCCCCTGACCCATGTGCAATTGGATTGCATCTGGCTGCAATTTAAAAGGACCAAAATGGAGAGGAATCTAGGTTCTCATTTAATTACCTTCCAGTTTACTCAACAGAAAACTTAAATCAGTGTTTAGGCCATTCTGATCATGTAACATGATTTAGGGATCTATTTGCTTTTTTCGAAGAAGCAGCAATCCTGGAGAGTCATGGGATAGATGTACAGAGTCCAGGAGGCCATTCCAACAGTGATGACGTCGACGGGAACGACTACTCAGAGCAGGTGAGCCGCTGAGCAGAGCCTCTGGCTGCAGAGCCGGTGGGGGCGGGGCTAGTATGACAACTCAATTCTGTGGGTGCGTTTTGTAGGGGGTGGGCAAGAGGAGGCAGGCTGACGTCCCTCCACTATGCTCGTGTGTATAGAGTTTCATGTAATTTGATTCAGTTGTCCTATTGAATTCGTGAGAAATTGTTACTCACCCCCATGGATTTATTGTCACACAACAGGACACTTGGCAAGTGCGCAATGGGGAGGAGGAGGAGGGAAGAAGTTCAGAGGGAGGCAGAGAAGCAGAGAAGGTAGAAGAAGAGAGGAGGATCTGACCCAAACAAGCAAGTTGCACCGTTCACCACACACACACTCACCGTTTGAGAAATACTAGGGGCCACGGGGTAGCTGGAACCCAAGCCTAAGCACATACGGCGCAGCGCTCGCGGAGGCCCCCCCACTGCGCCCGTGCCGGCAGCCCTCGAGCCGAGACGCACGGTTCCCCCAGAGCCTCTGGCACACGGACACACACATCCTCTCATGAATGCATGTCTTCTCACCCCACCCTGACTTAGTCTTCATTGCTTGGGAGAAAAACATTTAATTGTAGCCACTGGATGGAATAATTCAGTAACTAAGAATGTGGGGGTTTTCCCCCCACTTATCTGTTGACAGACATCATTAAAATTCATATAGGTTGTAAATTTATTTCCATCTGCACTGTGAAAAGAGCGCATGGTGTCTTCTCCTGGCCGGCAGCACACCTGCCTTTCCTCTGGCGGACGCACACCTGTTCCCCGCCCCCAGCCGGCCCCTCCGTCTGTCCCGTCCCGTCCGCGAGCTCCTCCTCCTGCCTGACCTTCACCAGCCTGAGCGCAGGTGCTACGGGAGGGCACGCAGTTCCATGCTGGTCCCTTCCTAAACCCTAAGGACCCGTCCATGACAGTGGGAGTAACAGCGCGCGTGCCTGCCGCAGGTCGCCTTTCTCCCTTCAGGGCTCCAAACCATAACTCCAGATTTTACTCCAGAGAATGTTCTGTAAGGTTTTAGTTGGAAACATTCCTGTTATTTTTCCATCTACCCATGTAGTTGGAGGTCAGGGCAGCACATCCCAAGCTTCCCCCCTGAAGGGACTTACCCTTCCCAAAGCGCTTGCTGCAGAGTCCCCCGAAGGTGTGACAGGCGGGAAGCTCGCGGCTTCTCTGTGGCACACCGGCAGTGCCTGCCCAGCGTCCTGCAGTGCCCGTTTCCTTCACAGCCTTATTGCTCAGCACATCGGTCTGTGCGAGGAAAGGGCACCTCACACGCCCCAGATGAGCTGCCTGTGTCTCCTCTCATGGCCGCCTTCCGGCAGGACGGCACCAGCCCCACACGTTTTCTCCCACAGCTCTTCTGGCAGTGATGCTTTGTCCTGGGGAAACCGAGAGTCCTCTCTCTTTCTTTTACTAAAATGCATTTTTACCCTGTAAGATACTGGTGTCTGTTGTTTTTTCTAATTTTCAGTTCAGTAGAGAGATACCATGAATTCTGATCACCTCTTGGGAAGAGTCCCAACCCAGCTTTTCATAGCTCACCAGTGTGGCCTGCGGTGGCCAGTGATGTTGTGAACCTGGAATGGTCACGTTTGATGACCGTCACCGGCAGGCTTTCTGAGAGGAGTAAAATTCTCAGCAAGAAGAAAATATTTTCATGCTTTTCATTTGTTGAATCATAAAAATGTCAACTGGAAGTCACTGGACCTATATCCATTCAGTGTCTACTTAAATACATTTCCCTCTACTCTGCCATGCCCCCCCCCCCACGCGCGCTGCTGCCCCCAGGAATGTCTGCTTCCCCTCGCCCACGCATGCCTTCCTGTGCGCTAGAGAATTTCCCAACACTAGTAATGCTGCTTCTTTCTGCGCATCTAGGATGACAGCACTAGCCACAGTGACCACCAAGACCCCATCTCGTTAGCTGTGGAAATGGCAGCAGTCAACCACACCATCCTGGCATTGGCCCGACAAGGAGCCAGCGAAATCAAGACAGAGGCCCTGGATGACGACTGAGCAGGGACGGTCGAACACAAGAGGTTACCTTAGTGTAGATGTAGCACCTTAGCAGACTTTCCTCGGTCCTTAACATGTGTTCTTACAGTATAACTTGCAGTTTTCTTGTATGTCAGTTAGCCGTTAGGGTCTTGTTCTGTGAAGATGGCATGGTGCCCTCAGCCTTTGCATATACTCTCTCAGTATTAATTCCCAGTAAATAATAGCCAACCGACTGACCGACCAAACTCCCCTCTCCCAGCCCTCAAGGCTAGAAAATCTCGCTGCTCTGTCTTAGCATTCCAGGAAAGTGCTTCCAGGTATATAGATAGCCCTCAGTTCTCCAATATTAGGCTCCGTGTAACCTTGGGTACCTTTGGATTCCTGTAACACTAGGCTGTACTCCTTTTCCTTCCCCAAGACCGATAGGCTGCAAGCTGAGGCAGTGTGGCCCAGAATGGACAGACATCATTTGGGGAGTATGCACAGAGTAGAAAGAACACTAGAGCCCCACTTCAGCGTGGGAGTGCCCGATTCCCAGCTGCAATAAGCCGTGCCTCCTAATAGCCACACTGTGGCTACACCACACTTCTTTCTGGGTGCTGTGCCAAGAATGTCAGGGGAGAAACTCCATCTCAGATTTTGGTTGATGTTAACATGCCTGACACAGACATCCTTTCCTCTCACAAGCTGTGTGACTGAGTAGATAAAATACTGCCTTCTGCCTTTGGGACCATGATTAAAATAAACAAAAAAAGATTTTTAAAAAAGTCATGAAAAAAAAAAAAAACCCCAGCTTGAGAGCATTGGAAAAAAAAAAATCCATGAGCTGAATGACTCCTGGATGTTAAGTCCAGGTCTCAGAACCACTGTCCCTTATGTGGCACAGGTGTCCCGCCTGCCTGCAAAAGCACTGGAGGCCACCACGGAAGCTGGCTTGCCTCCTGTCTATGTCCCCTTTCCCGCTACCAAAAAAAGAGGCTAAGGTCAAAACTGAGTGAATGCATTTCCAGTCTTTGTGTCCATTAAGTAAAGCCCCCTCAGTTTGAGAGGTCGGAGCATACTTTATAGTGGGATTCTGCTGACCAACCATCACAAATGCAAACACCCCCCTAAATGGGAGCAGACAGAAGCAGGGGACGTTTGCTGCTTCCGTGGTGGGTCTGTGAGGTTCCACAGGATATGACTGCTTTGGTGTTCTCTTTACCCTGTCCTTGTAGAGGTGTGAAAAGCTATATTGCTATAGGCAATTTATTTAATAATTGGAAGCCATATTGATAATGGATGTGGTAATATTTGTAAAGTTTAATCAACTTTAAGCGGCAGTAACTAATGGGATTTTTTTCCTTGATCACGTATGTAGCACTTTTGTTACTTTTTAAAGATATTTATATTTGATAAATCTGTTCTTCATTTTGAGAACTCAAAATACCAAACAGTGAACTTGCGTTATAAAGTCACCCTGTGATCACCTTGTTATTTAGTAGCAAAATGATTAACTATTCATGCATCAAAGAAAATTACATCTGCTGGCCTTGTATGAACATGATCTATTGGTATCGCAATTAGATGACACGCTGTCGCCATGGGTAAGAGGAAACGGCCTTCACTATAGCAGCATAGGTGCGTTGGAGGCGTGACTGCTGTGTGTCGGCCTTGTTCCGTCTCTCCTTTCTGCCCACAGGGGACCCTTGTGCAGAGGGGACATGGGGCTGGCCATTAGGTAGTGCTTCTGTCTGTTGATCACCTAAAAATGATTTCCAAGATGGGAGGAAAGTGCCATTTCCTTACCTCCCCACCCCTCTTCCCCACCCAGTGTATTCCACCTAAAACCACTGAGGGAGCCTGGGGCTTACTCACCTTCTTCATGTCAGCTTTCTTGCTAGTGAGATTCTGAGTATCCGCCAGTTCAGCTGGTCTGACTCCACTCGAGGCACATGCATGTGAGGCACGTGCTGATGGACCGTCTCCTGTGAATCCTGCTTATATCAGTGTGGGAGCCTTTGCGAGGGCGGAAGTGCCACCGTAGGTGGGTCTGTGATTTTAAAGAGCTCTAGGCGGGGCCTGCGCCTGCCCTCGTCCATGGATTTCAGAGGGAAAATGTGTATACTTTTTCCAGCTAATAAGCATTGAAGTAAAATGGAGTCGTCTTTTCTGTTTTACTGTATTACTTGAACCAACAAATTCAAGAGTACCATTTGTTATTCTCAGGAATGATTCCCCCCACTCATTTTCTTTCTTGGTGTCTTTGATTTTATTTCAATTAGGAGATTGTTATCTTTCTTTCCTTTTAATATTACTTAGAAGAAATACAACATATTGTATCTATCCATTTCAGTGGAAGTTTTGTCTTTTTCTTGGTTGAATCAGAAAGAAAAGCAGAGAGAAAAACACACTGACAAGCTACATCCATGATTTATTGTAAGGAGATTATTATAATTGATAGCTTCTCTATGATGGGATTGCTGGTATCATTTGTTCTTGCTGGTCTTTTTAAAGAAACAGACTCAAACTGTTAAGACAGCTGCAGTTTCTATAGAAATACAGTGATTGCCAGAGAAGAGCTAAAAGGTTTTTCATTGTTTTAAGACCTTTAAGGAAGGAAAAAGGCTTCCGTGAAGGAGCGTGTGCAGGGGTGGAGGCAGCACCAGGCCCCCTCCGCAGTGTGGGGGAGTGGGAGGGTGTGCCCGCCCGCGCTGGAGAGGAGAGCGCCACACGCGTTCAGGAGGAGCCCCACGGAGGAGGCTTCCCCCCAGAATTCTGCTTTAGTTAAGGAAGACTGCCGGCCCGCCCGGAAGACCCACCTGCCTTACATACAGCTGTTGCTTTTTCACCAGAAGTAGAAACTTGGTTTTGGGGGGCCTAGATTTAACTGTACCGTTGGTTTTTTTGTTTGTTACCAGGTTCAATTCCACTGTTTTGTCCAGGCTACCTTAGTTCTTAGGATGGTATATAGAGTTGCCACTGTCTAATCTGTATCTGTAATATATTTGAACAGTAAATTTTTTTCTTACGCTTTTTCAGGTTTGAGAGGTGGTATTAAAATAGAAACTCTAAACTGCTCTCTTACGGAAAAATAGCCAGGCTCTTTAAAAAATCCTGTTCTGTGCTTTTTGGTTGTTCTTTCTTCTCTGACTCATGCTGTACTTTTCTTCAGGCCTCAGAGGACTACTTCAGGGTCTGCTCTGCCCCTGGGGAGACCCGCAGCATGGTGGTGGTGGGGAAGTGGGGGGCTTGTCAGCAGTTTATGTAACTTGTCTGTTGTTATTTTTTAAAGACACTTTGGTCGAATTACTATAGTCATATGGGTAAACTTCGTACCCTACTTAAAATATAGCCTTACACAGGAGCCTGTTAAAGACAGACCATCCTAATGAGATTTCTGCCTCGGTTGCACCCTGACATCAGATGAAAGGCCAGGGAGGGCAGTCGGTACCAACAGGATGCCTCCATTTATTTCAGCAGCTTGTAAGTGGGAGTCACTCCTTAAGGCAGTTTTCTGCATCGTCAGGATCCTGTAAGTGGCTGACAGGTGTGCTTAGCCGCCCCCTACCTGCGGGACCTGGACGGACCTGCACACTGTCATTTGGTGGGACCACCCCTTCCCCCATGTCCCGTATTTCCTCACAGGAAAGAAGATCCTGGGGCAGAAAGAGCCCTATAAGGCGGCTCTCTAGGTCAGTGCAGGTGGCCGCCTACGAGGAGGTGAGTCGGCGGCGGCTGGGCCTCTGCTGGGCCCAGGCACCCGGTGCCCTTGCCCCCGAGGGAGTGACGCCTGAGGAGCTCGTCTCCACGGCTGCCTCAATCCTCCCACTAGGCTCCTCGGTACTGGTCTCCCTCTCGGATTCCAACCGTCAGGCGCCAAGTGGAAACACGCGCTCACTTACAGGGGCCCTCCAGCCACACCGTAGGCCTGCGCTGATGCCTCTCCGCCCCCTGCCTGGCGCTGAGGCCCGGGCTGAGCCGGCTGCCCTGCCCGACTTGCTCATCTCCGCAGCTCATGGGGTGGGTGTTGGGCTCCAGCTCTCCATACAAACAGCCCTGCCTGTCTGGCAGCCCACCTTTTTGACCAGCTACGTATTCCACTGACCAGCTACATTATCTCCGCCCATAACAGGGAAAAGGTTCCTTTTCCGTGAATGGTCCCCCACCCCTGTCCTGAAAATGTGAACTTCAAGTCCTTATTCTCTTAGTCTTAAAAGGGTTCGGTTTAAAGACTGCCTTTAAAATTGCTCTATCTTCTTTTGCTCAGAGAATAACCAGAGTTATTTTGTCCCCAGTGAGTCTTAACAGATTCTTTGGCAATAATTTGTCTCGTCGTTGGTGATCTTACGCTCAGTAGCAGCTAGTCCTGACTCCATGTTGTGTGTTGCTTTTCCGTGTCGGTGCATCTGCGATTTACATCAGAGCGGTGATAGATCGTGTCATTCTGCTGTTGTGGTTATTAGTGATGTTGCACTGCTGTGGTCACAGGGGCTGCACCGAAGCCAGCCGGATCCATTTATAGCTTTACTGAGCCGGACTTGCTTGTCAGGGTTTCCCAAGTGGATTGGGCACATTGACCAGCTCCCACTGGTGGCATCTTTGTGGGGCTTGAGGTGGAGTGGGGAGGGGTGGGGACGCAGCGGGCAGGGGTGGGAACTACAGATAAAACGTTCCTTCCTGTGTACTCCCTAAGGAGCAGGATGTTCACTCAGGATTTGGAGATCCATCGTCAGCCATGTGGAACTTGGCGCACTGGGCGGCATGTGCTGAAGGCCCTCGTCATCTCAATGTCCGTGCTGTCTACTGCACGTTACTCAGTGAGACCTGCATTACCAGTTTAAAGGTGTCATGTCCCCACAGGGAGAACAGGTTTTCCCTAGGAGGCAGCTCAGGACAGCCAGGTGGCCCTGTAAGGACCCCCTAGTGGGAGCCCCCAGAGCAGAGGCCCCTTGCTTTCTGTGCTGGGGTCTCCCTCATTGTATGCTCCTCTTTTCAGAAGGTGACTGTCACTTATGAGGAGAGATTTCCTTCCCTCTCTCGGAACTACCATACTGAGGTGGTGAGAAAGGCCCTTTAAATGCATAAAGTCTCTAGGTCTGTTCCTATCACGGCACCTCCGCTCGCGAACTGACTGTGACCAGAAAGACTGTCCTTAATTCTCTAAGTGATAAGCTACTGCTCCTGCCACTGAGAGGCCAGTGGTCGTAGGCTCACTGATCTCTAAAGTGCAGCTCTGTTCATCCATGTGTATTCAAAGCTGGGAGTTTATAAACTGAGAAGTTTCTATATCAGCTTCATTATTCTTTCTTGGTGGGGATAGAGAGCAGCAGAAAGCTAGCTAATGATCTGAGGAATCCAGTTTCCTGGAACATGGTTTTCTTTTGTAATCAAGAGGGGAATAAATATAGGAGAGAAGAGAGGGTAAAGTCAGCTGCACCCAAGGACCCCTCCGTCCCCTTCTTATCGCCACCCAAGAACCCCAAGGATGAGGTAGGCGCTGTGGGATTATATGTGTGCACGTTTCTGCACTTCTTGTTTGTCATGCTTCATGTGACACTTGGGGCCAAGCAATGAGCAGAAAAGTACATCTACTTGCTAACTAGCATTTTCACACCACTGATGGTTACCCACACGCTTCCCAGCCATTAGCTCCCAAAGGATCCACCTGCCGGGGGCTTTGCCCTCCTCCTGGCTTCCCTTGTACTGGGCATGTTCCCAGATCGGCTTGCCCCAGTCTGGACAGCAGTCTCATGCCTGGTGGGTGTTGAGCCCCTGGTGCAGCCAGTCAGGGGGCAGCCGCTCAGCGCACACTGTCACCACACTTGCACAGCAGACCTGGAGGCATGATGCACACGGCTCTGCTCCTGGCTCCACATTCCTGGGATGCTGGCTCCTGTGACTCCATTTTCATTTTCTCTTTTAAATAGAAGTAGCTCTGTTCAGCCATAATTAACTCTGAGATTCACACGGTGTGCTGTGATCAAATTAAGGTTTGCCTGAATCCTTTCAAAGTGTAACCATGGAAATGAGGGGGGTGACATAGAATGAATATATAAAAATATAATGACAATTGTTCTGAATGACTGAACGTCCTCCTGACATGTAATTAGCTGTTTTAGCAGGATGTAGATTGGCATGGTCATAATTAAAAGGATTTCTGTCCTTTATGTGATTGGAAATGGCAGATCTCCCATTTCCCCATCCCCTTTTAGCACAACACAAATGCTCCCAGGAACATTCGGAACAGCAGCTCAGTAAACTAAAATAATGATATGGTGTCCTTGTCCTCTCCTAAGTGAAAGAGAGTGACTTGGAGCTGTTTCAGCTTCAGAACGGAAGCCTTTGGTCATTGCCCCCTGTGGGACGCCTCGGTTATCTGAGAACTCTCTCCCCCCTCAGCTTCAGCCAGAATCCCACACTGGGTCAGTCGGTGAGAGGCCTCGATGACTCTGTCCTGCTTGCTAGCCAGCCAGTAGTGTGTTGGCCTGACTTCAGGACGTTTACTGTCTCATGAGCTCCCTCGCGCATTAAATGTTTCCTTGGTTATCTGATATTTCCATTGTGATCACCATCAGAAGTATTTGTCAGATGGGTGTTTATACATGAGTTAAGAAGGGTTTTCCTCATTGAATCATGATCTAGAGCAGATAGCATGACAAACACATAAACCAACACATACGGGCTTTGGGCTTTGCACAACTGGGTGACATACACACTGGTGTGTGCAGTGCCCAGTGTTCCCGCAGCAGCGGGACGCGTGCATGTGCCCAGGTCTTCCCACACAGCTCTGCACAGTGGCCTGTGCTTCTTGGGGTTTGCCCCACTGCTCTGCTTTGTTGGGGATTGTCTCCCCAGCCCTTCTAAATCTGTGTTCTGTCCCTCCCACTTCTTCCCTCCTCTTGCGCCCACCCCACCCACTGAGCGTCTGTGCGGCCGCTGCCCAGGATGCCCGCTGTTCTCGGCCCAGGCCTCATGCCGGTGCAAGCTGCTGTGTCACTGTCTAGCCTTCCTCTAGCGTGTGCTGTTTGGATGTCTCCGTCACTTGAAGAAGTCTTTATTTAGTTTTATGATCAAGGGTGAGTCTGCACCAACGTAGTGCCAGGTGGCCCTCCATGAGCTGCCTCGTTCCCGTGAGGCCCCCATGTCTTTCTTCAGGTCTGGACACTCCAGGATTGGTTAGTAGCCACTGAAGGAAATACTTGTGTTCCTATTTTGATGCTGTCCTTTCCCAGGTCTTTCCCACTCTCCCCTATCAGGAGGAATCCAAATGCAAATGCTGAAGTTGAGGTTCGGGAAAGCACCGAGATAGGCTGCTGCTTTGTGACTGTCCTCTCCCCCCCTCCCCCGAGCACACACACACCCAGTGGGAAGGGTTTTGCCTTGGGGTTCTTTTATTTTTGTTCCTCTCAAAACACCTACAGTCAACTGTGTGGTAGTTGGGCTAGATCAGGAAAAATAATACCAAAAAGGTTTTTACTCAGTGTCTCTTCCTGTAAGATCTAAAAACGACTGTCAGCCCCACCCCCACCTCCACCGCCTGCGTTCAGAATACATGTGCTGCCCTTGAGGCTCTGCGGGGGGCAATCGGTCTGTGACAGTTGGCATGATTGTGGATTTATGAGTCCCAAAAGCAGAGTGTCCTATCCCTTTTCTTATTTTCCCAGCTGCTGAAAGATAACTATCTCAATTAGAATTGAGAATCTGTCTTTTAAGATCAGCTATTCTGAGAATGGACTGGAATATAATTCTGTGATTGGTGAGACATGCATTAAAACAGCCAGCTGAGCATTCTGATTATCTGCTTACATTCAAAGAAAATAGAATTATCACTGCAGTTTAAACCTTCTAACAGTCTACTACTCTAGGGATCAAAGTATTAGATGCACTGCTTGAGGGATGAGGCTATTTAAGAGGAACTGGAGTTGGTAGATATTTCCGTCCCCAGGTGTTCCCAGAGGCCACTTTGGTGATTCAGAAAACCCTGCACCATATATTCCTTTACCACAAGCAGCTCCTGCCAACATAGAAAAGAAAGCCAGTCACCAGAATCAGTGAAAATATAGGTAGTGCTTACCTGTGAAATGTGTATTTTGGGGGAGAAAACACCAGAAGTTCTTGCAAGAAACTAAAGTTGGGATCATTGTAGGCCAGCACCGTGAGACAGACACCCAGACCTCCGGGAGCGTTTGAAGCTCGTCCTAACAGGGGCGCTTGCTGAGCACGTGCTGTGCACCAGCCACTGGGCTGAGTGTTTTCACGGTCTCATTTATTGTTGAAGATTCAGAGAACCTACACTGAGCAGGACCACTTCCATGGAGGCAGGGCAGGTTAAGTCCTGCTTCTTTCACCTTTGGTAGGATGTTGATAAGAAAGCCCTACATTTTCTCCCAGAACAGTGCTGGGTGATCCCTGCCGGCGTGTTGTCACGTGACTGCCATCCTGCTCTGCACTTGAGTCCTTCTGACACTGGCCCCATGTCAGCGCGATGATGGAGACCCCAGAACGTCCCCTCCCCTCAGTGATGCTGACAGAAGCGCCTCCCTCCCGCCCCCCTCCAGGAGGTGAACGCGGAGGTCTTGTCTTGTACTGGGAAGAAATGTTACACTATCTTGTAGTCTGAGGTCTGAGGGGAGCTAGAATTTACTAGCACTCCTTGAGTGTGGTCACAGCTAGTGGAGGCGGAGACTGTGAAGACTGCGTGCTTCCCATCCTCTCTCTATTCAGCTCTTGCAGCATTTTTCTCAGTGCTTGTTATTTACGCATCCTGCTTGGTTTACAAGTATGTTTTGCAAAGCCATTCCAACTCGTCTGCATCCTGTCCTTCACAGTCATGAGCGGCCGCAGGGCTGGGCCAGGACTGGTGGGGACGGAGGCTCTGGGGTCACGCTGGGGTCGGCCTCGCCCTGCGCTCTGTGGCTCCTTATGAGCCTTAGGTGGCCGGCAAGCAACAGCTGCCTGGAGACAGAGCTAGACTGTGGCTCAGTGAGAACTTTCTACCCACAGTCCAGCAGAGGGGTGAGCCTCCTGCCTGTCCTATGGCTTGTGACTGTCGTCAGGGACATGGGCTCTGAGCTGACCTGAGGACTTGACTAAAACTGTTTTGATTCCCCTTCTCCAGCTCTTCCTCTCAGCAGTCAGTGGTTCATCAGTGGTGGGCTCTGTCTCTGTCTCTCCTGTCTGCCCTGCCGCGGCCCAGGCACCCGGGGACAGGCCTACCAGGGAGACTCCCTGGGATTCGGGTCCCCTTACAGGTACCTTGTTTCATTAGCTGCCTGATGGGACTGATTCTCCACTCCCCCAACAAAAACCCACCGTGGGGTGAAGGGAGGAAGGGCGGGGGCCTCCCGCTCAGCTGTTGGTGCAGATCCGGGGTGTCCGGCTGTTGGAATGTCAGAATGCGGACTCCTCCTGGCCAGTGGGACACAGTCACACACCCGGGTTCCCTTGGTGACTTCTCTGGCTTCCCCTCCCTTCACAGCCAAGTGTAAATCTCAGCCTTGTTTTCTTGCTTCCTCTGAGCACAGAAACCTCTCCCTGTTTTTGCTTTATTAGAACCCGTTAAGGGTCCTTTTCCCACTTCGTCATCTATAGATGCTATTAAACTGGAAACAAAACGACATTAATGCTATACTGGTGTAAACAGCAGCCATGCTAGTGATGCTGCTCTGAGGTCTGGGTTCTGGGCCAGATTCGGAGGGGCAGAGGTGGCGGGGCAGCGGCGAGGTGGGTGGGGTGGAGGTGAGTGCCCAGTAGTGGCTCCTGTCAGGAGCAGCGTTGTTACTTGCCTTGAAAACTACATTTCATGAAGTGGTCCATGAACCACTTCATATGCGTCTCTGAGGGTGGGCATCACGGAAACAAACCAAAGTTACGGGGGGGCGGGGGGTGCTGCTCTTCACGCATCAGTGGCGCTGGCCAGGCTTCTCGTTATTGCTCGCTGCCTTCGCCAGAACAGTCCTCTCGGAAGGGCCTCCTCTTTTCCTAGTTGTTCTCACACTAATAATAGCAAGTTCTGTGGCCAGGAGCCCAGAGAGGCTGCTGGACTCTGTGCCCTCTGGTGGCCTGGTCTGTAGGGTCTGGAGAGAGAAAGGCCTCGGCAGGCACAGCGGGATGCACCTCCTGCCCCACGACACCAAGAACATCGCAGTTGCCTCCCCCGGAAGAGCCCACAGCCTTCCCGCTTCCCCATGGGCTCCCCTTCTGGCCACGGCCACAGTCACGTGGGGTGTGCATACCTTCTGAAGATAACATTTCCAGTCCGTTTTTTTTAAGTGCCTAAGCAAGTTACAGGCCCCTGGAACCTGCCAGAGAGTCGGCCTGTGCCCTCCCCGTCCCCTCCCTGCCCGTGGTCCTGGGGTGACACGGGTGGGCCCCCTCCGGGCCCCAGGGTTCTGCGGGCAGAACCACCACAAGGACAAGCACGTACAGCCGCTGGCCTCCCTCTTGCCGCGCTCCCTTCCGAGGGTCCTGCTGGGGGGCTGTGGTCTAGTTCTTGAGCATGCTGATGCTAGGCCGGCCTGCGGCTCCTGGGCGTGGAGAGCGAGCAGGGCGGCCTTGGAGCAGGCCCCGCCTCTGTCAGCAGTGGGGCATCGGATGCAAGAGGGCAGAGAGCCAAGTGACCATGGCCACAAACATGCACTTGCTGCCGTCAGTCACCAGACCCCGGCTGCCTCCTCTGGTCCTCCTCCGAGGCCCGAGGGGCCCGGGTTGTCTGCTCACAGGGCGCACAGGTCCCTCCTCCGTAGGGGTGCAGCAAAGGTGCGGCCTTGAAAGTGAGTGTGAGGTTTGCTGTTTTTTGAAAGTCAGACCTAAATTCTGGGCCTTTATTCTGAGTTGAAATACGAGGATTCTGCCGTGGCTGCAGTCTGTTCGTGAGCCGCGTGCAGCAGCACTCGGATGATTTGTGGAGCATTACACGGTTTGCAAAACAGAACAATCCATATCCAGGCACTTTATTTTCATTAATAATCCAGCATTTTTGTTCAGACAATGGAATAACCCAAACTGGGCAATCGTGTTAACACAGCCGGGCAGGTCTGCCAGAGACCTGGCTGGAGGAGGGAGGCAGGTGGGTGGCATAGCCAGTGGCTCCATGGAGAGGAGAGGCTGGCCTCCTTGGTGGCCCGCACCCTCTGCTCCCTAGGAGTCACCTGGCTCCCCACGTGCAGGTTTCACAGGGGCTGCCAAGCGCCTGTCAGCTGCGCAGCTGTGACTGTGGAGAGGAGAGGGTCGGGGACACAGGGAGCTGGGGGACATCAGTGTGCCTCCCATAAGGGCACCAGCACCCAGCAGGCTCCGGGGGGATTGGGCACCATGGGCCTGATGCCCCGGGAATGTCCGCAGGTCTTCAGCATCCACCAAATCCCCGCGAGTCCCTGTGACAGGCGGTCGGGGCCCCTGCTGTGGCTGCCGTGTGTCTTAATCTCAGTGTTTCCCTGTGGCGTCTCCTGGTCTCTGTCCCCCATCTCGTGCACCATGGGTCCCTGAGGGGAGTCGCACCTGGGTCTGATCTGCTGTAAGGTGTCCAGTCTACCTCAAGGGGTCATCATGGCCAACTGTCCCGAGAAACCCCGCCATCGCCACACACACTGGAAGGTGTATCTGCCCCAGCCCTGCCCCCGCCTTTCCCATAATCACCAAGAACTCCTAGTGCAAATTGGATGCTGCTTTAAATGTGAAAACAATTGTTCAAAAGCTATAAAACCTGAATGAAAGCTAAAGCTGAATTTATAAGCCTTGTTGCATATGAGCCAAAAGTGCAAAAAGCTCTATATAATGTACTAATACTAACCTGCCACTCGTATAAATATAAATATATATAAATATATTAAAATCAGACTGTTCTACAAAATTGTGTATTTGTATTTTTGTGTACGTACAATTTTCTGCTAAGCAGAAGGAGGATGTAGTATAGGATGCTGTGAGAAGAGATTTGGTTTAATCCTATTTCTTTGTTACTTATTTTTGTTAACATCAGATGCCTGTCTTTGTCTTATGTGTATGACACTGTCGGGGAAGCTGCAGTATCTCTCCTCCTGGGGTCCAGAGTCTACAGAGAAGGAAGTCTGGGGTTGAGAGTGGTCTGGACCACCCAGTAGAGACATGGGCAGAGCTGGGCCCCTGCTGCCCGGGAGCCACCCGGGGCCTGAGGTGGGGGCCGAGGGAGGGCATGGCCCCATGGCTGGAAATCGGCTTCCCGAGCCAGAGACCATAAGGCACCAGCAGGCTCTCCACCAGGCCCATGGGTGGGGGCGCAGGACCTCTTTATCTCTGGGCCGGAAGTCTGCCTGGAAAGCTGTAGGGGCTGTGCCAGGCTGTGGTGCCCAGCCTACTGGTGTCCCTGGGCGCCCCATCCTTCTGGCTGCCTTCCACAGATCAGGTTACCCACATGCCTTCCCTTTGCTGAACTGCTGGCGCTTCACCACCCAGACCTCCAGCCCCAGTTCCCTGGAGTGTCTCAGAACCCCCTTCCCCGGTGCTAACTTGCAAGAGGGGTAAAGAGCTGCCACTATGGCCGAAGCCAGAAGCCAGCCCTCGGAGAGGCCAGGCCAGAAGACACGTTGTGGGAGCCCAGGCCCGGCCCCCTGACAGCCCCTCCTGATGAGGCCCTCCTGACGTGGACCTCCTCTAGGGAGAGCGATACTGCACCTTCACCCGTGGGACTCATATTTATAACAATGTGTAATGACTGTAGCAAAAAGCCCTTGTTTCTAGCTATAAATGGTCAAAGAAACAAGCGCTCTATTAATTAAAATAGTTCAAATGAGTCCTGTATCATTGTATCTCCTATTCTGGATTAGTGCCTTTTGGACAGTAGACTGTTCTGTAATTAAAATGTAGTATACTGCTTTTTTGTACAGTTTTGTTTTAATAAAACTTTTTTTTAATTTGTGTTTATTTTAGTATTGTACCTATTAGAGAATAAAATGTATAACTGAACAAGGCTTGGCTGGGATTTCTTTGGGGAAGAACTCATTTGGGAAGTGCCCTTTGTGCTCAAAAGGGGGGGGTCAGGGTGACAAGTCACACCCCCCTGGTGGGCGGGAAGCCCCGGATCCACCCACAGCTGACCCCACCTGAAAGGGTCTCGCCACCACCCCCAGGAGGGGCTGTGCCTCCCCAAAGCTGCCTTGCCCAGTGGCCCCTCACCAGAGGCACCAGGTGCCCGGCTGTCCTCTTACTTCCCACATCCTAAAACTACTGGGATCCTAGTGGTTCCTCCAGCCCAGAACCACACCTTTAAGGGGCTGTGCCTTCACTGCCTGCTTCAGGCCACATCCCCAAGCACCTCATTTTCTTAAAGGACCCATTATTCCTGGCTGAGCCTTTACCAGCAACAGGCAAAACGAGAGAAATGGGGAGCTTCATTGTTTCTTTAAAGATGACAAGGTTTCAGATCAAATTCCTAAGTGGGGCCCAAGAACCAAGGGCCCAAACTCTCCTCAGCCTGTGCCAGGGATGCATTTGCTTTATGCCATGGCAGAGAACCTGATTTCTCTTCTCATTGAACATGATTAGAAAAGACTTTGCAAAGTGTTAACCTGCCCCCAAACCAACGTTACCAAGTAGAGGTGGGGGTGTGTGTGTGGTGGCGGGGGACACCAAGGACCATCCCCAACCCTTGATCTTCCACTGGGGTTGAAATTACTCTTTCTGGGTCTGCCCCTCACACCTGGCCAGCTGAGCCACACTGCCCCCTCCGTGTCCTGCAGACACCTGCCTGGGGCAACTTCCTCTGCCCTTAAAGCCTGGCCTCCTGCCAGCCAGGGTCCCACCACTCAACTAGGACACAGGGCTGTGCCATCCACTACTCAGGGCCCAGGTGGGGCAGGTACACCAGGGTTTGCTGGGTGACTCAAGTTTGTGAACTGAATGTGACGTGGCCACTGGCGCCCACGTGGGGTTTGAGTGACCACAAAACCCCCAGCTTGAACAGACAAAGCAGAGCTCATTGGGTTGCGAGAGTAAGTGGCAGCTCACAAATAAGATTTATCCTAAGAGCTGGATGAATTCCACATGCGGACCCCCACCCCAGAGCGGGGCAGCCGTCACTCTGTGGCAGCGCTCATCTCCGAGAACAACTCTTCAGGACTTAGGGATATAAACAGGTCCTGCTAAGAGGCGCTCTGACTGATGGCCACGTCCAGTCAGCCCTCCAAGTGGCTGCAGCCCTACATTTGCAAGTACATTTTGTATCAGATAAAGGCCGAGTGACTCACCGACACAGGGTGGACAGCTGGACGCAGGGCCGCCAGCAAGTCGGGTGCCGGGCCTGTGCTCCTGGGATGAGTAGGATGCTGCAGGTAATCTCAGAGGGGCCTGCTTTTCGTCCGGGTTGGAGGGGCTGGCCTGCTACCCCGTAGCTGCTGTGAACCTGCAATTGGCACAGCTGGGGGTGATGTCTTGGCAATGCAGCCTCGTGGGCAAGCAGGGCCCACCGAGTGACATGGGTTCTGCAGCCGGGGCAGGGCGGGGGAGGCGGGTGACCAGCTCTGCCGGCATCCACAGCCACAATCCTGTGCAAGCCTGGAATGAGGTCTTTGGCTCCCTGGCTGGGAGTCGGCCGTGGGGTGGGTCAAAGTCAGGCCAGATGGTGGCACGTGGCCTGAGGGCCGGGACATCCCTGCTCCTGGGAAGCCCTCGGGCCCCCCAGCCTGTACCCAGGCCAGCTCTCTCCTTGTTAGCCCAGAGGCCCGTTACCTTGGCTTTAGGGGCCATGAGGAGGTTTCTACTGGTTCTCGGCGCCGGTAAGAAGTCCTGAGTAAGGGGGATGCAACAGCCCTGCGACTAGGGAGGCCCCTGGGGTCTTCAGTCCGAATCACAGCGTGCTGGGGAGGGGGGCTAGAAGACGACTCCTAGTCTCAACCTTGAAAAGCCCCCCCTCAGTTGCTGGGGGCCAGTCCAGAACGAGCCCAGACACCCCTCACCAGGGTCAGGGAGGGGACACTACAGGAATGACCGCAGGCGCAGGTGAGAAGTCATCCGGCTTTATTCAGAAGCTGCTGGTCGTGACGGAAAGGCATATATGGGACAAAATTACAGACGTTTGAGTTCATTATACAGGACAAATCATGAAGTCTTTACAAGTCATTACAGTCTGGTTTTTTTTTTTTAATCCATTATATGTGTAAGAAATCAATATACTCCCCCAATCAAAGCCACGTTTTCATGTGTGAACCACTAAATGCACAGAACTCTGCACCCGGAGAAGACGTTCCTAGACTCCCCAGCACCGTCGGTGTGACCGGCCAGCAGAAGGCCCGACGGACTTCTCCGCGGGAGGGAGGCGGGTGCGGAGAGCGGTCGGTGTCCCAGCGTCAGGGCAGGCGTGCGGGGCCCAGGGAAGGCCGGGGCCGGTGAGCCAGGAGGGGCGGCAGAGCCGGGGGCTCGGCAGCGGCGGCCGGTCCGGCCACAGCCCAACGCCGCCATTCCTCTGGGCGAGGCCCTTCCCGGGAAGGCGGGAGCCGCCGCCCGTCCCCCGCCGCCCCGGATTTCGGCCCAGAGTCGGGCAGGCAGCAGGGTGGCCGGGTGGGGCCGCCAGGGGGTCCCGCGGAGGGGGCGAAAGGCGGTGTCTGGAACCCGCTCAGGGCCCAGGGCGGCCTCCACACACCGGCCGGGCGCCCCCACCAGTCACCCCGCTGGGCCACAGCTCTCCTCGGCCTCTCCTCCCGCGGGTGGCTGCTGTCCCCGCAGGGCAGAGGAGCCCAGCAAGTGCTCCCCTAAGTAGCTGGACGTCCAGCCGCCCCCCGACTCTGGCCTTCTCTCTGGGGAGCGGGAGCTGCGCCTCCGTCTGCGGGCGGGGCGCCTGTGGCTGCGGGGCTGCCCTCCTCGGAGAAAGGGGCCCCGCTGGAACCCCCCCCATAAGCGAACCAAAGTGACTAACGGAAAGCAGATTGAAAGGGGCGCCTCTGGGCTGGGAATGTCGCGTAGAGAAGCAGGGCACAGAACCCACAGCAGACAAGTTGGGCGCACGCCCGGCAGGTGGTCTCCGAGTGCCAGTGGCGACAGCAAGGAAGCCAAGGCCAGCCCTAGTCAGGGCAGGCCCCCGAGGGCCTGGGGCTCCCAGCAGGCCGCCGCCCCCTCCAAGGCCACACTGCCAGCCCTGGGCGTCCTGCTGCATGGCCACTGGGCCTCAAGAAACAGAAAGACACCACCTCCCAGGCCAGGGGTGCTGGGCAGCAGGGACGGGACGCTGGGGCACTGCCAGCGAGGGCTGCCCACTCGGAGCCCTGTCTATGGGCTGCTGGGCAGCAGACCCGGCCTGAGCACGGTCACATTCCCACAGCCTGGAGATGCTCTGGGCCACCAGGGCAGGGCCCAGGCTGGCGGGGGGCCCGCCGCAGGGTGCTGAGGAGAGGCTGGCAGGTGGCTGGCTGCTGGGTGCTGCTCGGGCACAAGAGAAGGAGCCACGGCTGGGGGCCAGAAGCTGGGGCTTCTGTGACCCGAGAGTCCCTGATCTTCCCTCGGTTTTTGCCTCTTCCTGTGAGAAGGTCCCTTTCAGCTCCAAATACTGTTCGCAGAGATAAAGCTCAAAGACAGGTGCGCTCTTGGCCTCCCGGCCCCGACGGCCTACTGGAAAACAGGAGGAAATGGCGGCGACGCAGCACCTGGCAGGCTGAGGTCCTATCAAGGGCCAGGGAGGCCCCGACCCAGACGGCAGCCCGGCCTGGCGCCGGTCGGTGTGGGCGGTTCGTCCCACCCGGCCGTTTACCTGACCTCAGGCACCGCGGGGTGGGCGCCTGGCAACAGCGTCACCTGCAAACAGCTGTTAGGAAGCAGGGCTGAGGCGGCGCCAGGCACCCCCACGTGTAATTAACAGCAGCTAATTAATCTTTGGCTTCTTCCCGTGGGGCCCTGACGTGCAGCGGCCAAGCAACCCCACTGGGGCCCTGCTTCCCAGTCTGGGCCCGGGCCCCACACAACCCCACCCTGGGCAGGGAAACTGGCATCATTCCTGAGGGAATTCAAATCCCTAGAGAACCTGGGGTCTTGTAGAACAAGCTTTCTGGATGCCCTTCAGAGTCTAAACACGAGATCTAATGCAGCCAAGAGTGCGGCGTGCCAATCCCGACCCAGGGCTTCTGCCCCAGCTTCGGGGTGTCCTCCAGGCTGTGATTCACAGCACAGGCCCGCAAGGGACTCAGGTGACAGGCGGGAAAGGCACTGACTGGTGGGCACAAGGTCACTGGGCCATGCCCCTGGGAAGCGGCTTCCCTCCGAGGTTCTACCAGCCTGCTCTGGGATGTGTAATGCTGTCCAGTCGGCGCTGTCTAGGTGGCACTGCCCGGGTCTCTGCAAGGGCTGCAGCGATCAAAAGCAGGCGCAGCGACAGGGATCGGGGGTGAGGGGGAGCGGGGAGAGCCCTCCTTCCATGGGCCCACCCGCCAAGGCGCAGGCCCCAGCGTCGGCAGTCAGGGTGCAGACTGCCAAGTCCAACTGGTTAAGGACCTTCCCAGAAACCAAAATTGCACTAGCTAAAGGTCGTGGGGCCTCCGGCTGTGTCGCTGACTGCAGAGCACAGCCGCCTAGTTGCCCACGTTTTTACTGCCATCTTAGAGCAAGGCCACTTGGGTATCTGCATCAAAGATGCACAGGGAGGGGGATCATGTTCTGGCCTCTCTGGGGCCCCCCACCCGAGGCGGGAAGCTGGTGACTCCTCAAAGGCCACAGAGGCAGGCGCCACATGAGGCGAGGCACTCACACCCGGGCAGAGGACTGTGGCTCGCGAATGATATCAGATTTTGAAAAAATAAATATAAATAAATATATTCCAAGCATTCTGTTAAGGGGGGAAATGGCAAAGAGAAAGAACTTTCCAGGTATTAAGATGCTAAAACACCCACAGAGAAACCTCCAAGAAACGCCGTGGAAAGTTAGCGGGATGAGGGAGGTTCGGGCCAGCGCCCCTCTCAGGGGCACAGGGCGTGCTGGAGCCCCAGGGGGCAGCCGGAGGCACTTAGGGGTGCTCATTACTCAGTGTGGGGAACTCGGGGCGCACGGATGGGCCTGAGGTGCACGTGAGCCTAGGGCTGTTGGGCCGAGGGGGGAAAGGCACTAGTCACGGTTACTCTTTAAATTAGGAGGTTAACGGGGTCGCCAGACAGAAGAGCAGCAACAGCCCCAGGTGGCGAAAGCCCCGGGCACAGGGCTGGGCCTCCCTCCCCACGCGCCGGGACCCTGCGGAGAGGCAGCCTCGGGCTCTGGGCGGCGGCAGGCAGGCAGCTCCCCGAGTCCCGGGAGAACCGGTAAGGGCTCACCGGCCTCGCATCGTGCAAAAGGCATTCACCGCCCGCGCCCCCCTCCCCGGGGAAGGGGGCTGCAAGGGTCGCGGCCATTCGGCCCGCAGCTCCGCCCCGGCTGTCCCCGGGAGCTCGGGAGGGGCACGGCCGCGCGCTCGGCCGGCGTCGGTCTGGGGAGGCCGGGAAGGCGGGGTGCGGCGGCGCCGGCTTAGCTGGCCCAGGACTTCCGGTTCTCGGGGTGCTTGTGGCTGCGCTCGGCCCGCAGCGCCCCGGCGCCCTCCGCCTTGGCCAGGGCCGCCGTCAGCGAGGCCAGGTTGCTGGCGGAGCCGGAGAGGGTGCTGCTCCTGCGGGGCTCGGCGGCGCCCTGCAGCCGGAGCCCCGCGCTGCGCCGCCGGCTGGCGCCCGCCGCCCTGCCCACGCGGCCCGGCCTCACCAGCAGCCCGTAGCCGGGGTTGCACCTGAAGTACTGCTTCCCTCCGATGGAGCCGTCGTTCTTCCCTGCGGGGGGGAGGGACAGGGGTGTGAGAGCGCCCCCTGCGGCGGCCCTTCGCGCACGCCCCGCCCCGAGGGCCCCGCAGGCCGGCCGCCCCCCGGCCGCGCTCCGCGTGCTGGTCCCATGGCAGGCGAGCCACCCGAGCACCAGGGCGGCGGCCCGCGGGCTCACTGTCGGTCAGGACGCTGGAAACGTAACCTGGGAATGGATGTCGTCGGTACAATGATTTTTTTCTCCCTGAATCCGTTAATGGAAACTGGCAAATTACCAAACTGCAGCTAGACAGACGTCACACTTGATGTGTCTAGACGGGGTGAAAAGTTTCCTCTGTGAAAGCAAACAGTGCTGTGAAATAAAGGATGGGAACACCGTGCTGGGGGCCAAAGGGGGATTTCCTGAGCAAAGGACCACCCTGCCCCTACACGTCAGCATCCCAGGCGACTGGCGGGAACACGATCGTTGTAGCAAAAACCCCCATCCTGCCGGACCTTACCTGCCGGCCTCCCCTCTCCGCCTCCCCTGCCCGCCTTCCAAGGGGGTCCCCTCTCCCCACCTACAGACGGGCACACCTCCACCCTTGGGCCCGCTCTCCTCTCTGCTCTCAGGCGCCATCTGCGGCCGCCTCCCCCCCTGGTTCACTGGCGTCCCCGTCGGTCCCCAGCAGCCCCCGCATGGGGGGCTTGCCTGCTCCAGCCCCCAGCCTCTGCCTGTCTCCCGCACAGGGGCTCTGACACTGCAGGTCTAGCCCGCGTCCCCAGCCTGGACCAACTCCGAGCTCTGCGTCCCCTGTCCACCCTCCTCCTGCCCCGGGCTCTGACACAAGGTCAGGGGACCATCAGGACCCGGTTCTCATCCCCAGGCACGTGTCAGCCTGACTCCTGCCCTCCCCTGCTGGCCCACAGGACCGGCACGCTCCCCTGTCCGAAACACTAGCCACACACCCCACTCTGGGCACAGGGCCACCTGAATGGCCCTCCTGTTCCCACTCTTCACCGCAGGTCTGCTCCCCTCAAGGGAGGCGGCTCTTTAACCCTCCTGTTGCGGCCTCCTCTGCCGGCCTCCCTGCTGCCGCTCCGCCTAGGAAGCTGGGCCCCGCGCGGGGCTCGAGCTCTCAGCCTTCTGCCCCACGGCGCCCAGGCCCATGCGCCCCTCCGTGCTATTTAAGATCCCTCACCCACCACCTGGCCCACTAGCTCCACTTCATGTCTTCATGCCAATTACTCGTGTATTCAGTTTTCCTCATATGTTAACCTGGTATTTCCCCCACTTCTGAAATGAAGGTCCAGTGAAACCAGGGACTCTGGTTCTGCTCACCAAGATCCTGGGAATCCAGGACGGTGACTGTGAAGTATAGTAAGTGCTTAATGCTGACTTGCTGGATGAATTCATCTATTTGCAAACCCCCTTTACTTGAGTTCAACTGCAGATATAAACTTCTCTCCCAATTCCCCTTTTCGGCAGAAATGGACTTTAAAAAACACTCCGCCTGTGCTACTTCGAGAGCCACTTCCAATGTATGACATTCTTAGAGAAAATTATTTTAAAGGCAGTGAGTGACTTCTGAGTCCGGGGTGGTGACTCCCGTGGGGAGGCTCTGTGGGGTTGGCTTCAGGTTAAAGGAGCCCCCTGCTCCCCGTCTCCCCTCAACAGCTGCACCCCCAGGCCGCACACAGCTCCCCTGTGACCGTCTCCGAGCTTCCTGCCTCCTGCAGTGTTCAGGCCACCCTGCCCTGTACTCTGCAGGCAGGAAGGGCGAACCCAATCCAGCGTGGCCGTCCTCGCACTATGACATGGTGACCGCCCAGTATCCACTGGAGAGAAATGAAAATGCGTGCCCACGAATGTTCCCAGCGGCCCTTCTCACAAGAAGTGGAAAACAACCCAAATGGCCATCAACTGACAAGTGGACAAACCAAATGTGAGGCAAGAAGGAATGGGGTGCTGACGGGCTCCAGCTGGACGCGCCTTGAAAACACGCTATGGGAAATGTAACCCGCAACGAGTGCCCCTGGTATGGGATTCCGCATATGTGGAAGTCCAGGTTAGGGCACTTGACACAAATTCAGAGTGAAAATCCAGTGGCCGGTCCCTGAGGGCTTGGGGAAGGGAATGCCTCGCTAGTGCGCACGTGGCTTCTTCCTGGGGCGACAAGCCTGCTCTAACACCGGCCATGGTGACCCTGCACGGCTCGGAGAATCCTAAGACCGCTCAACTGTACACTTCTCATAGGCGGATTTGATGGTGAGTAAATTTTATCACAATAAAGCTGTTTTAAAGGATCTGAAGGAGGAAGTGTTTCTTTGGCTTGTGCCCTCAGTGTTGTGCAAACGTGGATCTAGGTGCTTTCACGCCACCTGTTCTGTAATGAGACTTAAGAGACTGGCTGGCCTGCAGCAGGCCTCAGGTCCCTCCATCCTCAGCTCTCAGCCGCGGGCCACGGGGCCCTGAGGCGTCTCAGGAACGGCTGAGACCGCCTGGCATCTGCTCGGGTATCAGAGTCGGTAACCTGAGCAAACACAACGCATCCACCTACTGCTACGGTCCAAACAAGATGCTCCTGTGACTTAACAAATAAAGGGGTATTTAAACTCATTACCCAATTTATGGCAGCTTTCAATTACTGGCTTAGGTTTCTGAGAAACTTATGGAAGTTAAAAAAAGAGACAATCTTACTCTTAAAACACTTAGGAAACTTATCTAGTGAAAATTCCCAATTTTGAAGTGGCAACCCACAGGCTCCGAGAGGTGGACAGAAGGACCCCAGCGCACACAGCAAGTTCCTGGCAGGGCCAGTTAGCCTGTTTGGGCGCCTCCAGGGCCGGGCACCCACAGGAGGCACTCACCTGAGGGTAGGTCTAGCTCCACGCCAATCCACGTGCCCTCCTGGAAGTCGGTGGGCCCGATGTACCTCACCACGCCCGTTTTGTTGGTGCCCACGGTCACATACTCGCCCTCTTTGAGCCACTCGGGGACTTCGGCGGCCTCTTCAGAGTCCGAAGAAGCCTCCGGCTTCCCCAGGGCCTGTGCACCGGAGGCGGGCGGGTCCTCCCGAGCCGAGGGGCAGCCGGGGTCTGCCGCCAGCATGCGCGTGAACGACTGCAGCTCCGAGGTCCGCACCCTCTGGATCCGGAACGGGGAGGCGGGGGCCGCGGGCGGGGGCAGCGGCTCGGGGGGCGCCCGCGCTCTGCAGCCGTCGGGCGCTGGGCCCTCAGGGCGCACAGGCGTAGCCCCGGCTCCGCGCGGCGGGCAGGGGGGCTCCCTCCCGGGCGCGGGGGCGGCAGGATGCGCCGGGGAGGCCCCCGCGCGCGGCTGCTCCGCGGACACGGTCGCGCCGTCGGCGCTCTGCGGGGCCGCACGCTCCCTGCGGGCGCCGGGCGCCAGGCGCGGAGACGGCAGCTCGGGGTCCGGGGAGGCCTGGCGGGGGGCGGGCGGCGGCGAGCCGGGGCTCTGTCCGTCCGGGCCGGGGCCGAGGGCGTCGGACAGCGTGGCGCTGGAGACGCTGTGGGAGAAGTAGCCGCTGGACGCCTCGCTCAGCGGGCTGGGCGGCCCGTCCTGCGCTTCCGCGGCCGGCCGGTCGGGCGTCCTCACGGCAGGGGCCACCTGCACGGCCACGACGGGGGCCGCGCCGAGCCCCGCGCGCTCGCGGTGCGCCTGGGTGGGGAGGGGGAAGCACACTGGTCAGAACCCGAATGCGGCATTCACGTCCCGGAGGACTGGCGCAGAGTCTGTTGCTAGTTGGCACCTCAGGGCTTGGACACTGGTGAGCAGGGCACTGGTGTGCACGGGGCAGACCCGGGCCGGGGTCAGGACCACCGCGTGCGCCCTGGAGACGGGCCCCGGGGCCCAGCGGGCGCTGCCCCTTCCAGCCCCACCCTTCCCATTAGCTGGAGGGCTAGGAGCTGCCTGTGCTGGTCTGACTTCTAGTAAGAAACACATGTATTCGACCTTCCTCCTGTTTCTGGCACAGAGCTCCTCAAACCCTTGGAATTTCCTAGGTGATCAGAGCCACAAAGGTGTCTTGATATTAGTAACAAGCCCCTTCCAGCACACCTGAGTTCATGTTACTGAGGCGACTTCCGGGAGCACCTGTGAGGGCTAAAAATTAACTTGCCATTTCTGCTTCTCTATTAGTGCTGGCCTCAGTAGAAGTGGCAGCCAGCCATATCCTGTTATGGCAAAACTGTTTTACTGGAAGAATTGTTATTTCAAACTGGTGCAAAGTAGCCGAGCCAGGAAGAAACAACTGACCTGGAAACTAGTCTCAGGCAAGCAAGCAAAACTAGGACAGTCGGCCAACAGGAAGTTCAGAGAATATAAAAGTGTTGACCAAACTCTTGAGACTGCTGTTAGCCGATCTAAGGCTGGCAGCCCCTGTGCAGGTGGTCTTATTGCTAATACATAACTTCTTTTTCTCCTGTGTTCTGGTTGTGGTCTGGTGTGCCTGCACTCTCCCGGTACAAGCAGTTGGTCCTGTGAAATTCAGGACTGACAGCACCCAGGGTGGGGGAGGGCAACCATGTGCTTAGAGGCTTGGGGCTTTCAGGCGCACCCCTGGACTCTAAGGAGGTAGAATCGATCACCATAGCCAATGATTTCATCAGTCATGCCTATGTAATGGGGCCTCCATGAAAACCCAAAGGGAATGCCAGGAGCTGCTGGGCTGGAGAACACGTGCAGGTACGGGCAAGTGTGGCACACAGTGTGCGGAAGCTCCCCACCGACCCTGCCCCTTGCCCTATGCATCTCACCCATCCGACTGTTCTTGAGATATCCTTTTATAATAAACTGATAGTCCAGTATGTGCAATGTTTCCCTGAGTTCTTTGCGTAGCAAATTAATCGAACCCAAGGAGTTTGTCAGTCAGAAGCCCAGGTGACAAGCTGGCTGCGAGGCTGGCATCTGAAGTGGGGGCGGTTCTGAGGGACCAAGCCCCTACCCTGTGGGATCTGAGCTCATCTCCAGCAGACAGTGTCAGAATCGAGTTGAACTGCAGCACACCCAGCTGGTGTTGGAGAACTGCCTGGGGGTGTGGAAAACCACACGTACAGGACTGCCACTAGGGTCAGTGCAGCGACAAGGCAGGCAGAGGCCCTCCCCACAGAGCGAGGTGCACAGTGCGATCTTGATTCCCTCACTACCTGCCAGCTTCCCTGGCCTCCCTGTCCTCAGGCTAAGAACTTTGCTTCTGTAGAAACAGAGCCCCGGCCCAGCACCAACTTCACAGGCAGACTGAGAGAATCACTCGAGGCCAAGAGGGCACTTCTCTCCTGCAAAGTGAAATGGGGATCTCCCTGGGGGAGCTGAAAGTGCCCCAGCACAGCCCCCCAGCTCAACAGGAGAACAACCCTTGGCCTGCTGACTGAGGGGGGCTCCTGGCTGGCAGAGGAGGGGACAGGGGCTGTCAGCAGGCCGTGCCCTTTCTCTGAGAGGCCATCTTTCAGGCTGCTGCTGAGGGCTGGACCTGGGGGGCCCTGCAGCAGCCAGCTCCCCAGGGGAGTGGCTGGGTGAGAACAGCACCGTGACGGCCAGTCTCTCCTCTCACGTCGCTCCAGCGGCGACACACAGAGCCCCATCTCATGGACAATGACAATGACAACAACCAGGGCTCATCCAGCTTCCACTGTTTGTGAGGCGCTTGAAGTTTTCTTTTGTTGATGACTTAAGCCATTCGAAGACGGCGGCAGATTATCTCTCTATCCCTGATCACAATGATGGGGAAAAAGAGAAGGCAAGGCTGGGGAATGGGGTTGGTGGGAGCAGAGGGGGCTGCTCGGAGGAAGAAATATGTTCTCCGATATTTACGGAAAGATTATTTATATTACAGGAATGGCCATTTTCCATTTGAAATGCAGGATTTATTTGAACTGGGAAACAGCTGAGATCTATAAGTCTCTTACAGTTACTTGGCTTAACTCTGCAGTTTGATAAATCATGCATTTTCACGTGAAATGTCATTTATATTCCTGTCTCCAGAGGCCCTCCTTTCCCCACAAGGAATACTTTCAGGGTACAAAATGAACCGCACCTCTTGAGATTAACAGCCCATTTTGGTGATGGATCTCTAGGCTGCAAAATTTACTAAAGCCAATAGATCACTGACTGTCACCAGCATAAATACTCTAAAAGATTAGGCAATCCTTCAATCACTTTTCTTTCACAACTTGTACATGTTTTATTTATTATTTTCTATTTGATTTTCAATATTACTGACCATGCAGGGAAGAATACACAAACAAAAGCACAAGAGTCTAGTGTCTGCACAATCGCTGTGGTCCTCAAACACTATGCATCCCCTAGTCCCCTGCTGGGTGAGCCCCTGCCACTGCCTGATGCACAGCTCACAGCTGTCTGCTGAGGGCCAGGGAGGCCTGTCCTGAGGAGGGGACAGCCCAGAGACAGTGCCTTCGATCTCCCAGGTATTATCCTGTTTGCTTCCAATGAATCCTCTGACACAAGCCAGAAAGTATTATCTTCATTTCACAACATCGCCCAGAGAGGGTAAAGGATTTATCCAAAGCCTCCACTAAGTGAAAACCAGGGATCAGAGGTCAGATACACAGAGACAGCAGAGGCCAGAGGTGGCAGAAGTGAGCACTGATTGCGGTGCTCCAGCCGCTGAGCCGGGGCCCGGCCGCCGCCTCCTTCCGTCACAGCACTGCAGGCAGCCGCTCCCACCCCACTGAAGTTGACATGCGAGTGGAAACCTATTTGCCTTCTTTGGGTTACCGCTGACATTTCTAGAGACTGCCGGGGAAGCCTGGACTTGAGAACACGGCCTCAGTGAGCAGCAGAGCTGCCCGGAGCCACAGAGCCCCGCAGGCCAGGTGTCTGCCCCAGTAAGGGGCTGGGTCCCGGGCGCAGGGCCTTGGGGCCCGTCCTGCCTCAGCAAGACAACGAACACCGCTCCCAGAGGAGGGGGCCACAGGCTGTCTTCACGTCACTTCATGGATGCCAAGGGTGTCCTGGATTGAACGGGGCCTTTTAGAAAGGGGCATTCGTGGAGGTCTTCCAATCATTTGAAAGAAAAATGAGTTTCTTTCAAATTATTTAGCCTCTTTTGGCTGTTGTTTTAATAAATAAAATCTTCCTATGAAGATACAGCATTTCCTAAGAGAATGAATACACAGTGGGAGAAAATAGATTTGCTATTCATAAGATCAGAAGTGCTGTTCATCTGTGGGAGATCATAAGAGACTATTTTCTCCCCAGCTTAGCATTAGTCTTTTCACGCTGATATCATGAATCAGAATGAAATGTAAAACTGAGAATTAAGCGAACACTTAGAATAAGGAGATTGTTCTGTTTATAGAAATCGCCTTTGCCTAGCAGTGGGCTATTATAGCAGCAGACTACATTAGCAGTCAAGCACCTAAAAGTTTAGCAATCATATGATTAACAAGTTGAAAATAGAAAAGGGTACCATGGAAAATACAGAGGAAGAAGACAGTGACCTATATTATGGTTAATTATCAAAATGGGAACACTAAAATTAAAACAAGACAGGTGTGGATGGGGCAGTTACAGCCCCAGGACGCCCACCGCACGCAGACAGACGCCCGGCCAGGCCAACTCCCCTCCCCGGGTCCCCCATGTCCGGGAGGCAGGCAGCACGGGGACCGGGGCGCGGGCTGAGGAGACAGGTGGCCGGCAGGCGGGAGGGCGCGAGAGGCGCAGAACTGAGGGGACCAGAGGGCTTCTGAACCGAACAGACTGGAGGCTGCCAGGGGGACCCACCTGCAGCGAACCTCCCTGGCTTTCCGGAATTCCAGCATGTCCCTGCCTGGGAGGTGCGCCCAGGGCCAGGGGCATCCCTGCACAGGGACACGTCAGGCACCAGGGACCCTGCAGGCTCAGCCCCGCCAGCCACACAGGACACACGGCACGGTAACCAAGGCCTGTGTCTGCACACAGAGTTACAAGACTTTGCAGACAGAAGTGACAGGGGCCGGGATGATGAAAAAGGCTTCCGCAGGACAGGGGTGCAAACCAGGCTGTGACAACGAGGGAAACTCGGGCCGAAGAAGTCACGGAACTGCAGCGTGAGGAAGCCACGTGGCTGGAGCACAGTTCTGGGCAGAGGTTGGGGCAGGGGCGATATGGAGAGAGGCTCTGGCATCTGAGACTGACCTAATCAGGTGACGAGGGGGGTCACCACAGACGCTGGAGCAAAGGAGGCAGAAGATGGAGAAGACTCATCTGGTGGTGGAAGGCGGACGGGGGCACTTTAGAGCCCACGGTAGCCAAGCCCCACTGCGACTCAGGCAGCAGGGCAGGTATGAGGTGGTAAGACCCCCAATTACTGGGTGCAAGCAACTTCACAGGACAGGCCTGCCCTCCTTAAGGATGCATGGTTCAAGGAGCATTAAAACAGAAAGAGTGACAAAATAATTAGCCCAGGATACGGAAAAGGGACGTTGGAAGAAGGAGCTGGTAACCGTGAAGGAGAAGGACTCCCAAGTCTGCTTAGCGGCCACTGAGTCTACCAAGATGGGGGGTCCGGGGGGACACAGGCAGACGTGAGTCCCTCACAAGAAGCCAAGGACCCACCACGTCCGCCTTTACCTCCCCACCCACCTCGGCCCCTTCCAGATCTCCCCACTCCACTGCAGGAGCCTGGGGCTTGCGCAGGGTGCTTGGCTCTAAGAGGCGCC